AAGCTTAGGGGAAGAAGAGCGAATATAATTAAGGGTTAAAAACAGAGGCTCCCAAGGAAGGATTGTTCCCACCAGTGAAGTAGTTCAAGCCCTCTTGTATTTGGTTTGATTATGAACCAACGACCCTACAGTGAGGTGCGGACACCACAGAGACTGGAAGAAACCGAGGCCGCAGCATCCAGGCCTGGGTTCTCATCCCAGCTCTGCTGTGAACTTGTTGTGTGACCTTGATCTGGGCACACCCCCTGGGCACAAGTCCTGCACTTTCTTCATAAGGATGGTAATAATCCTCTACCACAGAGGTGGTTACAAGGGCAGAAGGAGATAAATGTAAAATCACTTTAAAAACAAAAGCAATATTGCAAATAGAATCTATCTGTCTGTCTATCTATCTACCTATCATCTATCGATCTCTATCTCATACCATAATATTGAGAATTAATAATATGGCTACTGGTGGGCATCTACTGTTTTCAGCTTGGAAAAGTAGAAAATGACTTAGTTAATTTCAAATCAGTTTTTTAAATCATGAAAAAAACCATTTAAACTAGAATCGTCTTGATTCAACAAAACAATGTAGATGGGTGTAAGAACTCTTAATGAAAAAGCTTCCATGAAGCAACTTGTAAAGAACCATGTGAATGCTTTAGACGATCACCAAATAGAACTGGTTTTCATCTGGTCCTGTGTGAAGGGATGGGGTGAGACGAGTTGATTGCTTGTAGACTCTGGGCCTTCATAAGTACGGGAACTATGAAGTAAACAGGCAGGTGGATTATAGATAGAGTGAGCATAAAATTTGCTGTCCAAACTAGGACACTTTTAAGAGTGAAAGGGGGGCGCTGTTGATAATTACACAGGCAGAAACCAGGACTGTCCCTGGTAAACCAGGACCTATGTCACTTAGTTACAAACTAATAAGCTCACCCTTCCCAAGGTGAGTGATGTCAGGATAGAAGATTCTGCAATGTCCAGCCTTTCTGTACTGAGGTTAACCTGGGCACACGTGGGGTGTGGCAGACTCTAGGGACCCTGGGGGCTGTCTTGTGGTGAGCTGAAGGGGGCCACTTCAGGCCGGAGGGACAGAAGAAATGTCCCCAGGTTTCTCTGAAGCATCGCACACGTGCCTGAGCTGTCGTCTGCTGAGAAGCCGCGGTACCGGACGCACCAGCCTGACGTGTCAAGCGCGGAGATGAGTAACTGTGATAAAAGCTCTGAGCCAATGTCAAGTCTACCAAATAGAGTCGCAAACAGCTCCCAGGGCTCCAACAAAGGCTCCAGACATAAATCAAAGAGCAATCTTCCAAGGTCGGTGGCATGGGAGGACTGGCCACTTGTCACTCTTCAGTGTTCCTGCCACGGTGGCACACGTGGAGGGTAATTACAGCTGGTGGTGTCGTGTGAGAGTTAGGATGGCCAGGGCAGCACCTGGTGATGGAGTGAACGCAGGGGGTGATGGGCACCCGTGTCTAGAGATACAGACTACCTCTTGCCGTTTGCATTTACTCCCAGAATCTCAGGGTATCACTGAGAAATATTTTCCCTTTGAGGTGTTGTCTCCCAGGATTTATATAAAATGCCCTCTTTCTTTATCTCCAGCAGCTGCTTATGAAAGTGTACTTCCACCCTATATCCCTGCCAGGGGAAGAGGCCTCAGGAGATATTCCTAAAGGGGTCCCAGGGATAAATCAATGTTCACAAGAACCTCGTATTATTAGGAAGACTCTAACTTCTGCATAAGGTGACCCGGCAGCATTTGGAGGCTGGGGCACTGTCCACTCCTGGGAAAGAGTCTGTAGCACTTCAGATGGGAAGTCAAAAGCAGAAGGAATGTCCCAGCCTTCCCATCAATGCTGTTCTGGTCCTCAGATGTGTGATGTCACCCAGAGGTGGGCATGGCCTTTTCTCAATGGACAGTTGGCTTTGTCATCCGAGTGTCCTTGGCTCTTTTGATGTGTCTGACGTAAAGTTTATATGCCAGTCTTTCCAATAAAAGTTTCCTTTTTGCTCCTTCGTTGTGGAGATAATGAAGTTATTGGAGTTATGAAGGAATTGAAATCGAAGTTTTTCATGTGAGGGCAAGAAGCACAAAAGAGATATTTATATGCCCTTTATTTTCTGGCTGATTTTTTTTTAAAATTTATTTATTTGGTTGTGCCGGGTCTTAGTTGCAGCTCATGGGTTCCTTAGCTGTGGCATGCGAACTCTTAGTTGCGGCATGCACGTGGGATCTAGTTCCCCGACCAGGGATTGAACCCGGGCCCCTTGCACTGGGAGCGCAGAGTCTTAATCACTGTGCCACCAGGGAAGTCCCCTGGCTGCTTTTTAAAAAAACATATAATTGTCCCTAAAGGACACCTTGTCAAGTGTTTTGCTAGAATGTGAACAGAATGGGCCTAACGCTCTCTTTCATTGACTGTACATCCATTTTCGTTACGTGTTACACATCTGTTGTGTAACGCTCTATGTTACCAATTCACAAAATAATCCTGGAACAGGCATTGTACACTGAGGCCTCTGTTATCATAAATACATTTCAAAACAGTCATGTGATCATGTTACTATTTTAAACTAAATAGCAGTAGACCTAGAAGCCAGTCATTGTTATTGCCATGGTATTAATCCAACCTTGGAGCACATATAAATCCCACAATTAGTTCACAACTGTTTTCCAGCCTTTTCTCAGTAAATGCATAGAAAGGATTTGAAAAATTAACTATTTTCTAACTTCTGGCAAAACCATTTCTTATTCTGGAGAAGTAGCAATTTCCAGGGCCGGATGAACTTTCTGCTGGTTTTCTTCTCATTCTGATAAAAGGGCGGGTCAGAACTCTGATGCTTCATTTCTAAATCGTGTTCTTTCCAGGAAAGAGAATCTCTCTGACGACTGTTCAGTCCTTCTGCCGAATAAATGCAAAAACATATGCAATTTTCTATTTTTCAGAATGGCCATAGCGGTATTTCAAGTAAGCGGAGTCCCGCCGTTTGGTGGTACTGGGAAACCTCCTTGGACATGTGTATTGCAGTGCCAGGCCCTCCTGCCTGGGACTAGATTCTGAGGCTCTGTTTGATTCTGTTTGGATGTTCCCACTTTGCACACATCTAACAATTACTTGGCAGTTTGAGGTTTTCATTTTGGCTTTCATGTCTCAGGCTTCTCTGGAAAATGTTTAATATTTTTTAAATTACATCCTTCTAGCCAAAGTAAGAGACAGGGCCCTCTGAGATCAGATCCTGGTTGTCACACCCAAAGGATGCGTTTTCCCAGGATGAGAGCACCCTCGCCTACTGCAAATCTGGGCTTTCCGGGGTGCAAAACCTGGGGCTGGCTCTTCGGTGGAACTGTAAACAGCAGTCAACTGTTTAGTGACATAATGTGGGTTTTTATAGGCTCATCTCATTCTACAACCAGATTGCTGTCTGAACGCTTGAGATAAATCTTCACCCACTCTCTGGAACTGTTCAGCACACAGGTTAATTTCTCACTATTGATTTTCTCCACTACGCATCGTGGAAGCCTCAAGACCGCTTGACCTACACACACACAAAAATCTCTGCGACTGTCAGTTTAAATGGAATAGCTTTTCAAAAGTATTCTTGAAAAATCAGTAAAGATAACGAAATAACTCTTCCCCACCCATTAGCAGGGCAGTTTAACTGGACATTTTGATTAGGTTTGAACAAAATCATGAACATTTACGCGAAGAGGTTTCACATGTTAAAGCTTCTGAACGTGAATGCTTCTCTTGTGGGCAGCCCCAGGCAGGCATGTTATTCTCATCTAGGGACTGAACATTTCTAGTTAAATCAGAGTAGAAACCAGAACCTTCTTGGATAACAGAAGAGGCAACACAGGAAGAAAAGCACTGGGCACCAGGCGTTGGAAGACCCATCCGCCCTGCCAGGAATTAGGACCACTCTCCTCTGGGCTTTCGCTATTCATCTGTAAAAACAAAGGGATTGGATTCTAAGTGTCTTCCCAGTTCTAAAATTCAATGTTTTTATATCCAAGACAATATATATATTTTTATTAATATGAAAAGCGAGTTGAAAGAAAACAACAAAAGCAAAATAAAAACTTTGTTCTACCTGAAAAAGACTTGAGAAATATATATATAAAACAAACATCATTCTTTCCTCTATATATCCATTCCTGTATATTCCTGTATACTCATCCCTGTATATGCCTCCCCCACCCCCATTGTTATTGAAAAGTAAAAAAAAAAAAAAGTTCTTTTAAGGATTAAATGTTCCATTTAGTTTTTTAATCATCCCTGAAATCTTGTCCCGTTAATAGAAAATGGGGTCAGAAGCACTTTATTAATGGAAATTCCTTCAATGTGCTTCCAAGGAAAACTAAAGCATCCTTAATACCTACGATATAAAACAAATAAACAAAAAACCCCAGCCGAGAGCAAAACCCAACCAGTTCTATGTCCCCGGCACTGATCAAGTATAACTGAAATGTACTAAGCCATTTTCACATCACTTGGAGTGTAGATTTATTTGGATTTAAGAATCTCCTAAACAAATTACATCAACCTCACTCCATGTCCTTCCTTAATAAAACTGTGACTGGACAAACATCAGACTTTTAAAAGTCTAAAAATAATAGAAAAGTAAAAATAGATTTCCTAGGGAAATTCCTCTCCTTAAACCTTACATGGTTTTGCTGCTTCTGTGAAACCTTTTTCTTTGGAGTAACTTGGTAGCATGGTTTTTCGTGTTTGTTTTTCGGCTGGATTCATACAAGGGCACTGAATTAGAACTTCGGCTAATTTATGGAGCGCGAACTTTTAGGACCAGTTAAGTTACCTCCGCTGTGAAAGGAGAATGGCAGACGTCAATGAAGGCATGGAGACACTCCAAGTCCATTTCATGATGTAACTGAAGTCTTAGATAGCACACCCTCATTGCAAAATAAAACAAGAACACAGAATGGTATGAGCACTCTAGAATCATCTGCAGCACGTTTCACCATTCGAGTCGCAGAATGGCCCGTTCTAAACCTGCGACAGGTCGTCGGAGCGGTCATGCCCTTCACCTGCACCCCACCCACCCGCTTAAGAGGATCCATTCATAGCTACTCACTACTGCAGGATTTGACCTGAGAAATGCTAGGATTCATTAACTCAGCGGTTGTTTGCAAAAGTACCTAAATCATCTTTGCCCTTGGCCAGCAAGGGGACTGCTCAAGTTCTCAGAAGCAGCTGGTGAGGTTCTTAGCCAAGTTCCTCAGGTGCAGGAAGTTCTTCGGGACAACCTACTTTGACGTGGCATCTACATATCTTTAAACCAGACTTCCTGGATCTAGGAAATGTTATTCCTGACTCCTTTGACCCAGAGACTGGCTAAAATTTAGTTTTTATAACCTGTAGGTGATCACTGTTTCTTCCTTTTTTTCTTTCTAGGAGCTGGCATGGTAGTTAAATTTTTCTAAAACAGTCATATTAATATGTTCAAAAATCCACTGCTGAGTCTCGGAGAGAGGGTCACATCTGGCCATGAAAATCTTCTTCTCTGCTGGGTTGCAATCCATGCAGCTGTTACTCACAGGATGGAATAATGTTCTGTCCTGCAGGGATCGGAAAGAAAAGAAAAGACTGATATCATGCATGGTGAATGCTTGGAACCCAAACTATAAAGAGAAAGTAAAATAGCCCTGCTGATACTTCAGTATCTACCCAGAGTGTGAAAATAAATAGACCACCTCCCAAATCAAACAACAGGAGGTGGGGTTGCCACACGGAATGTGGTTTCCTAGGAACCGTGGGCGCAACGTGGGCCCTCCAAGCAGATTCAGCCAGAAACAAAGAATTCATTCATTCATGGACTTTTAAAAAGTATAATCCATTCATTGCCTGCTCTGTGGTAAGCATTTTGTTACACCCTCGGGTTTTGAAGATGAAAAGTACATGAGGTTGCTTGTCAAGTGGCTACTAATCTAGCTGTCTGGGGAGAGGGATGCATACGGAAATGGTAATTTAGTCCGCAGTAGACACCACCGCAGCCTCGCACACACACCCAGAGGACCAGAAGAGTCATCATCTTCCCTACCCTGGTACTGGGAAAGGCAAATACCAGAGGACCGGGAACCAGGATGAACTCGGGACCGGGGGTCCACAGTGCGCAGGCAGAACCTCCAAGCACAGGCTCAAATCTGAGCTTCTGCCTCTTCCCGACCCCTTTATCGGCATCGCTGCTCTTCCTGGGATGCAGCTCTCCCTGCCTTTTGTAAAGCGGAGGGAGGCAGTGTTAGCTCAGTGTGTGATAAAGAGAACGGCTCTGTGAATGAAGGTGCTAGCAGGGCACAGAGTTTAAGTGGTAAGCAAGCCCGTTATGTGAACAGCCTCTGTTAATACACACGGCTTTGTATTGTGCAAACAGGGAGAAGGAAGCCAGTGCTACGAGAAAGGGATCTTTCCTCAAGTAGCAATAAATGCTTTTGTCTCTTATAGTGTCTATGCATTAAAAAGAAAAGGGCCAATAACATGTAAAAACATCCCCAGATCACTGCTGAGATTTTAGGAACAAGTTGTGTTTTATTACTTAGCTTGGGAAACATTTAGAGGATCTGCTTATTTTCTTTAACTGAGGAGCGTTAGACTCAGCTTTTAGGCATCCCACGTCAGCATCTCTGGGTTACACTGGTTGCTAACCAATATTTAACGTGCTTTCGGACCCGGATGTTTGCATAGTTAGGTGTCTGCGAAGGAAGGAAGAATAAGGAAGGAGGAAGGCGGCCCCAAGCCTCGTTTGCATGTTTCCACTTTCAGTGTAAACACAGAGCTACATCTAATACCTAGGCTCCCTCCTCTCCTCTGCTCTCTTCCAAGTCTCCCAGGTTTATTGTGGATTTCCCTTTCCGTACACACGAGAGGGCTGCTGACTTCTCCTGCCCATTTTCCTCATCCCCCGCTTCACTGGCTGCCGTTGGACCCCAGGGCAGCTGGCAGGAGCTCTCCTTTCACGGGCGAGGCAGCAGATTCTGGAGAAGGAGGCTGTGCGCTGAGCTCACCCGCCCCTTCCCTCCTGGGGCTGATGGTAATGCTGAGGTCACAGATCCCATCCCACAGACGCCCCCGCGCCTCCCTAGGCAGCAGCTCCTTGGCCCTCCCACCCCCCTCCTCCCCAGCATCCCTCCCACTCCGTCTCCTGCCCCACTTTCTACCAATTTAGCTACACAGGCCTAATATATTTCCATCAGCTATTCAAAGAGCATCCTTAAGCTGTTACATTCGTGATAATTCTATGTGACCTGCTAAATTCTAAAACTCACTCTGCTCCACATCCATGTACTTCTTTTCCTTCTTAACTATCTAGATTTCTTCCTATTGTCACTTTTGTCAGTAGCTCAAGCGGGGATCCCCCCATAGACTTGCAGTTTCTCTCCCCAAACACGTATGTCCATAAAAACTAAAAAATGAGGAAAAAAGGAGTAGAACGTGTTTTAATTCTCTTCCCTTCTCATTGTGTGCGCCTCAGCGCAGATGCAAAAGCCAAACCAGATCTTCTGAACATTTAATTTTTCCGAATGTTATTTTCCAAGCCATAAGGTGATCATACTTTTCCAAATCTCCAGCTGGAATACACGCTCTGGCAGATCCAGGTATGCTCGTGGGGACAGTCGGGTGGGATGAACAGGTTCAGCACGACCCTGAACCCTCCGGAGTATGTTTCTGTAACTATACGTCATGTTCTCATAAACGCTGAAAAGTAGAATTCCCCACATCTATCTGCATCTGAGAAGCTTCATCAGTAAAACGAGGGGGTGGATAACATCCATCTCTGAAGCCTCTCCCAGCCATAAAATTGAATGAACATTTTTTCCCAAAGTTCACTGGGGACGAATGACAGGGCTTCCAATAGACCCTATCAACCATATGCTGGGGACTAACAGATGATTGCTCTCTGGTTGTGGACTGAGCTTCCGTGTCTTTGGCGTGTGCAGCAGGTCCTGGAGGGGAACCTTCTGGAAGCACCTTTAGTGTCCCCAAAACATACGTTTTCCACTCTGACCTTGGGAGCTACGTACATTGCCATCATTATATTTCTCCTCAGCTCAGCTTCTGGATCGCTAAACGTCATTACTGATGCTTCTCCTGGCTGGCGCGTCGTCGTTGGTAAATGTGGCCTCTTGTCCTACACCAGCCCTTTTTAAAAAATTTTTCTTGGAGTCTAGTTGATTTACAATGTTGTGTTAGTTTCAGGTGTACAGCAAAGTGATTCAGTTATACATGTATCCACTCTTTTTTAGATTCTTTTCCCATATGGGCCATTATAGAGTGTTGAGTAGAGTTCTCTGTGCAATACAAGTAGGTTCTTATTAGTTATCTATTTTATATATAGTAGTGTGTCTACAGTGGAATATTACTCAGCCATAAAAAAGACAAAATAGGGCTTCCCTGGTGGCGCAGTGGTTGAGAGTCCGCCTGCTGATGCAGCGGACGCGGGTTCATGCCCCGGTCTGGAAGGATCCCACATGCCGCGGAGCGGCTGGGCCCGTGAGCCATGGCCACTGAGCCTGCGCATCTGGAGCCTGTGCTCAGCAACAGGAGAGGCCACAATAGTGAGAGGCCCGCATACCACACACAAAAAAAAAAAGATGCAGAGACAATAAAATAGGTGGGTGAGTTCATAACATACAAGAAGATGACCTTGAGAATAAACACCCACACGGTGGCAGGGTGCAGGGGGCCAGGGCTTTATTCCATAGGAAATTTGGTCACATTCCTGTCACACGACTCATCTGTTACATGACCCTGGTTGATTACTTAATTCTCTGAACCTCAGCTTCCTCACTTGTGAAATATAGATAATAATATCTGCTTCACGAGTTTGCTGTGGATAAAATGAGTTAATATATGTAAAATCGCTGGCACAATGTCCTACGTGCAGTAACTAACGAAGTAATAGTTATTCCACGTCTGCTCTCCTCTTAATTTATTTTCAGTCAAGGAGCATCCCCAATTCTAAAAATCAGAACGTACTAACCATCTGGTCTGAGACCAGCTATTCAAGACCAAATTGCATTTTCTGAAATACTGGCGAAATAGAATTTGCAAAAATTGGCACCTGCCTTGACCAGTTATCCGAATGGATACATCAGTACCTCCTGGTTTAAGCAAAAGATTTATGGAACCAAAGTAATTAGTTCAGGAATGAGCTCTTCTGTATAGTTATGGTCCGAGTTTGTATGTGTTGCCTGAAATACAACATGAGTTCAACAAATATTTATTAAGCGCTTTTTATTTTCCGGTGTGTGTTAGGAAGTAGGCATAAAAAGATAACCTAAGATGCCTCCCCTGGCCCAAGAAGTGGGGGAGACCAATAGGTAAACAAGACATGTTTGAAGCAGAAAGTGTCAATGAGATTGTAGCTGTGGGGGAATAGGATGAATAAAGAAGAATGTGTGAACAGAGAGATGTGAACTAACAGGTATATTTATGCATTCAAGTTATTCAGCAAGAGTCTACAGGGTGCTTACTATCTGTCAGGCACTGTTTTAGGTGGTTGGGATGTATCAACAACCTTAATAATATAAAAATTCCTGCCCTCCTGGAGCTTACATTCTAGAGGTGGGGTTGGGGGTAGAGCGGTAGGGCACAGACCATAAACCATGAGTGTAATCGTTTCCATGGCCTGTTCAAAGGTGACACGGAGCAAATCAAAGCAGTCCGGAGAAACTGGAGTGCCAAGGGAAGGGCTGGTGTGCAAACTTAAATAGGGAGGCAAGGGTAAACCTCACTGGGAAGGTGACATTTGAGTAGGTGATGAAGAAGGTAAGGGAATTGGCCATGCGAGTATCTGGAGGAAGAGGTGCCAGATGGGGCAACGGCCAGTGCGGAGGCCCTAAGCAGGGATGCAGTGTGTGGATTACAGAAACATGAGGAGGCCAGGGTGAGGGAGAGTGGTAGGAGATGCGTCAGAGGTGATGGAGGGCTCCGTCCATCATGTGCTGGGGACCAGCAGGTCACTTGGCGTGGCCCAAGCCCAAGGAGCAAGGGGGAAGATTCCAGAGGGTGACAGATGAATTCCACATCATGAAGAGACTGCGGTGTGACGCTAAGGCTTGACTTTTCAGGCAAGCGTGCGGGATGGTGGTTGGAGGATTTAGAGCAGTGGAGTTAAGGATCTTGGGTGCCTCATGCTAGTGGCAGAGAGGAGAATGGGGTGGGAGTGGGGGACTCGGGACACAGCTGGAGGCACAGCTGGAGGCTACTGCAGGGGTCCAGATTTGACAGCAATAGGGAAGAGTTGGGGGTGACATGAGACATGGTTGGAAAGCTTTTTCAGGAGGTGAATGCACAGGGCATTCTGACTGATGGGACATGGGGATTAAGGTGGAGGAAGTGAAGAACTAGAGGAAAAGCAGTGTTGAGGTGAGAAATGGAGAGAGGAGTAGGATTGGGGGCGGGAAGGATGATCTCTGTTTCAGGTATAACGAGTCGTAGGTGTTTAGGGGACAGCCAGGTTTAGATGCCCCGGAAGCAGTTGGGTATAGACTGGACCTCAAGATAGCTTCTCTGTAAAGTGGGGAGAGGCGAGTTACTCCCTCCTGCTGACTGTTCATTT